AAAATTAAGCCGTGGCATGTGTGGCCATGCCTGTGCCAGGCACTCAGGAGGCTGAGGCAGGAGGATCGCTTGAGCCCAGGAGTTTGAGGTTGCTGTGAGCTAGTGGCCTTGATGCCACGTCACTTAGCTGGGCAACAGAGTGGAGACTCTGTCTCAAAAACATAACAACAAACAAAACAAACAAAACCCAGAAAACATTGTGAAGAAACATGTTGAAAAACTCATAGACATGTAGCCAGGAAGTTTTATAAATGTTGAAAAGCTTTTATCTGAAAATATCTATTGTCGCTGCCTGTTGGAAGGACAATTTTGCTGTTATAGATGCTAGGGCAAGATTTTCTCCTGTCTCTCAGCAGCTCGGAACACTCTGCTCCGGGTCTCTGGACTCAGTGTTTCCAGTAGAAAAACTGGCCATGTTTAGAAAATCCCGGTTTCTGCTGGGCAAGAACGATTTTTTTCCTCTGGGACTGCTTTTAGATTCGATTTTATTTATATTTGGCTTTCAGCAGCCTTGGTCGTGACACAGCTGGGCAGCTGGGTTGGTTTCTTTGTATTTCTGCTGTTTCAGCTTCTCATTTCTCGGGTTGTAGGCTGATATTTTCATCCAGATTGAAATATTTTGGCCATCAATTCTCAAATATTTTTTTTTCTCCCATTATATTCTCTCTCTTCCCTCTCCTCTTATTCTTGACCTCTAAATGTTATATTCAGAACTTGATGTAAGTCCCAGGATCTTCAAGATTTCTGTTCCTGTGTTTAAATCTCGTTCCTCTTTGCTCCAGTCGGATCATTTCATTGACCTTCTTCAAGTTCACTGAACATCCTCTTTCCACACTACCAATCTAAGCCCATCCAGTTGATACGTTGTCTTTCACATGCTGCTGTTTTCAGTCTTGTCTTTTTTCTAGTTTCCCTCCATCCGTCGAAATACACATCTGCACTTGAAATAATTGTTTAGTCTCTTTCTCCCTTCCCTTGTGGTCCTTTCCGCTGCCTTCCCTTCCTTCCCTCCTCTTCCCTTGCCTTCCTTTCCCTGTCCTTCCCTCCTTCCTTCCTTTCCCTTCCCTTCCTGTCCCCTCCCTTTCTTTTTCTTTCATTTCTTTCTTTCTTCTTTCTTTTTTCTTTTCTTTTTTTGAGTCAGAGTCCACTGTGTGCCCAGCTGGATGCCGTGGCGTCGCCTAGCTTCACAAGGAACCTCAGACTCCTGGCTCAAGGCAATCCTCCTGCTCAGGCCTCCCAAGTAGCTGGGACTACAGCATGTACACCAGCTCCGCTCATTTTTGTTCTCTATATTTTTGGTTGCCCAATTGAATTTCTTTCTATTGTTAGTAGAAGAAGGGGGTCTCGCTGTTGCGTTGGTGGTCGTCGAACTCCTGAGCTCAGCGATCCACCTCACCTCGGCCTCCCAGCAGTGCTAGGATTACAGGCGTGAGCCACGTGCCCGGCAATAACTTGTTTTAGTCTCCTTTCTTTATGCCGCATAACTTGATCGTCTTATGATCTCCTCTAACGATTGTATTTTCTCTAAGCATGGACTATATCTTTGCTGCTATTTTGCGCGATTACTGCATTTGTTATTGCTATTTTATGCACGTGGGTATACAAATGATAGCAAAAGGTTCTGACGTGGTTTGGTTCGTTCCGTCTGTTCCTTGAGGGATTGCAACCCTTTTCCTCTGACCGTAGCATCCGAGCAGACATCACTCAGGTTCCTCTGCCTTCTCGTGTCAGACGAAGAAGCCCGTGGCTTTAACCAGGTTGAATTGACTCTCGAGGGAGGCACGGTTCAATTCCTGAGATAGGTCGGTGGATCTTAGGCCGGGAGGGTCCTGTTGGGTGTAGCGGCGCAGCTCCCGCCGTGGCGGTGGAATTCCACTGACCGCAAGGGGAAGTCCGGACTGTGCGCTCCGCTGCTCAGCCGCCCGCTGCGCGTGCCGCGTCTGGGCAAGCCCTGGCGGGAGGGAAGTCTCGCTCTCGCCCTCCAGTCCGTGTCTGCCACGACCCGTCACGGTGAACGCAGACGGTGTGCCTTGCCAATTTGGAGCTTTAAAACACTTGTCACTTTGATTTTCAGACAGACAGTTGATGCCTTTTCTGTTATAGGGAACCTTGGTTAAAAGCACTGAAAAGCACAATACAGAATAAAAATAAAAGATGCCAGCCTTGTTGACGTCTCTTCCTCTTCCGATTCGAGGAATAAACTTACGTGCAGCAAAATGCCAGTTTTAACGTTCAGCCCAGTGAATCTGACACGCAGTTTGCTCTGTGCCGTGACGGTCGCACACAGCGTGTGGCCCACCGTGTTGGTTCGGCGCCGGGAGAAGTTCTGTGAGGCGCGTCACACTTCCTGCTTTTGTCCTTTTTGGCTGCATAATGTTCTCCGATGAATTCTAGTATGCCTCGACTCTACTGTATCATTATCCCGTTGATAAGACAATTCTTTTCCTCTCTCTTCTCCACTCGGTAGATGTCGTCGAGGCCTTTCTTTAAGTCCACGGATCCGACCTTCCGCGGTCGTCGTTTAAGTCCGCCATCGATTTGTTTTCTCTGCACCTTGCCCTCCGGGTGCCATTCTCTCTGTTCTGTTCTGCTCACCTCTGATGCCACGGAGCGTGGGCGGTGCCTCACGTTTTGTCGGCTTGTTATGAAACGGGCCACGCGGTGAACACCGGTTGCTGGCATGGCACGGCCATTTTCTGGCTTTACTTGGGGGCGGGAGTGAGGCTCTTGCCCGGGCGGGCACAGGTGGCCAGCAGCACCTGCCGGCGTTCCCAGGGTGAGTCACTTCCATCACTTAGCGCGTCGCCCAGCAGGGCGAGGTCCCGCGCCTGTCACCTCCCCACTCCGGCTTTGTCCGTCCTGTTCTCGGTTCTTGCCCCTGTTGGGGGAACCTGTGGCCCATCGTCAGCCCTCCCGGCCAAGCAAGGCCTGGCGCCGTGTCCTCCAGGTGGATGGCCGAGGCCACTTCCCAGCTGACGGCATTAGCCTGCGCTTCTAGTTTAACCCTTAGGAAGATACTATTTCGCTGGCACCGCTTGACCCGTCCCGGTGGAGTCCAGTGTGCCAGGTTCCAGCATCTCGGGGCCGCAGGGTCGGCCCTGGCCCTCGGGAGCCCCGGACCCCTTCACAGCCCATCCACGTGCAGCACTGTGGGGCCCTGCCCGTGTGGGTCCCTGGGTCACCACCCGTTGGGTGTGGGGGTCCCCGTGGTGCTGTGTGGGCCTCGTGTGATGTTGTGGGTCCCTGTGTGTGTGGGGTCCCGGTGCTGTGGTCCCTATGTGGGTGTGGGTCCTCGGGGTGGGTCCTTGTGCTGTTGGGGTCTCTTGCTGTGTGGGGTCCCTATGTGGGTGTGGGTCCGGTGCTGTGTGGGGTCCCTATGTGGGGTGGTCCCGTCGGGGGTGGGGTCCTGTGTGGTGTGGGGTCTCGTGTGCTTGGGGTCCTAGTGGGTTGGGGGTCCGGGTGTGCTGTGTGGGGTCCTATGTGGGTGTGGGGTCCCCGTGTGGGTTGGTCCCTGTTGCTGGGGTGTCCCTGTGTGCTGTGGTGTGGGCCCCCGTGTTGGGGTCCCGTTGGTGTGGGTCCCCGTGTGGGGTGGGTCCCTGTGTGGGGGGTCTGAGTACTGGTGGTCCCTGTGTGGTGTGGTCCCCGTGTGGGTGTGGTCCCTGTGTGCGGTGTGGGTCCCTGAGTTACTGTGTGGTCCTGTGTGCTGTGTTGGGGTCCCGTGTGGGTGTGGGTCCCTGTGGGTGTGGGTCCCTGATACTGCGCGGGGTTCGGTCCCTGTGTGCTGTGTGGGGTCCCTGTGTCGGTTGTGGGTCTCCTTGTGTGTGTGGGTCCCTGTGGCTGTGTGCTGTGTTGTCTGTGGGGTTGGTCCTGTGGGTGTGCCGTGTGGTGTGGGGCCGTGTGTGTGGGTCCCTGTGTGGGTTCTTATCTTTTTCTGTGTTTGGTTCCTTGTGTTGTGGTGTTGTGTGGGTGGGGGTCCTTCGTGTGTGTGTGTGTGTTGGAGGTTGTGTGCCTGTTTCTGTTGTGTGTGCCTGTGGGGTGTTGTGGCGCGCGCGTGTGGTTTCCGCCCTCATTCGGCGTGTGTTGTGGTGTGTGTTGCTGTGCAGTTCTGTATGTGGCTGCCGTGTATGTTCTGATGCTCGGTGTTCATGACGATCCATCAATCATACTAGTGTTGAGCTGTGAGCGCTGCGCTATGTGAGGCACTTGTACTCGTTCTTATCTGCATCCTCATCTCCCGGGCCGCGGAATAGCAAAAACCCGACAACGCGTTAACGTGGTGTCTCCTCACGCTGCTGCTGTCGCTGTGAGTGACTGGTTGTGTGATATGATGCGTGATTGTGTGGTTGTTGTTGAGACAGAGTCTCAGCGTGTGCCGAGCTAGGTCTGAGAGGTGGTGGCGTGGCGTGCAGCAGCTCACAGCATAAGGCCTCAGAATCGCTCTGCAGTATCTCCTGCGTCGTCCAAGTGCTGGACTACAGGATGTGGCACCATCCCGCTGATTGATAGTATTTTAGTTGACAGTAATCTTTCTAGTAGTAGAGAAGTTCATGTTACTGCAGCTGTCGCGAGCTCTAGCGGCAAAGTCCTCCCCGCCTCGCGCGCAACTATGGATTCAGGCGTGAGCACCGGCGTCTCGTGTTTAGGGGTCTCACATTGCCCAGGCTGTCTTGGAGGTCCTTGGCCTCGAGGGATCCTTCCCTGGCCAGCCACAGCGCTGGCCGCAGCGTGAGCCACGCCCTGCCTGTCCCCGGCCGGGTGAAAGCTGGAAGTACTTTTCATTTTCTGGAAGTTAGTTTGTGGTAAGATGTTCAGCGTTGCAAATATTAATATTTCAATCCAATCCCCGGCCCTGGGAGGAAGCCCTCACCCCCCGCCCCGGCTGCGAGGAATGGTGAGCTGGAGCAGGAGGCCCTGTCTCCTCGCTCCCGTCCTCGTTCCCGGCTCCTCCAGCCTCCCTGCAAGTGTTTGCAGAGTGTTCTGTTGGTCTCTGTGGCTCTGCTCCTCCAGCAACCTGACATCCTGGGCTGTGCCGTTCTCTCCTGCAGGTCTGCCCGCACCCCAGGCTCGCCGGTCCTGCCCGGTCCTGCCCGGTCCTGCCCCGCGTCCCTGCCCAGTCCCTGCCTGGTCCCTGCTTGGTCCCTGCCCTGTCCCTGGCCCTTGGTCCCTGCCCTGGTCCTGTTCTGCCCTGGTCCTCTGCCTGGTTCCCTGCCCTGGTCCGCCCAGGTCCGTGCCCAGTCCCTGGCCCGGTCCTGCCGTCCCTGCCTGGTGCCCTGCCCTGCTCCCTGGCCCGGTCCCTGCCCTGGTCTGCCCTGGGTCCTGCCAGGTCGCCTGCCCTGGTCCCTGCTGGTCCTCTGCGCCGGGTCCTGCCCTGGGTCCGCTCCCTGGTCCCTGCCGGTCTCCGGTCCCGTGCCCTGCCCGCCTGGTCCTGTCCTGGTTCGCTGCCCTGGTCCTGCCCTGGCCGCCCGGCCCTGCCTGGTCCTGCCCTGTCCCTGCCCTGTCCTACCTGGTCTGCCGTCCCTGCCCGTCCTGCCCTTGTTCCTCCCGGCCCTGCCTTGTCCGTACCTGGTCCCTGCCCTGGTGCCTGCCCTGGTCCCTGCCCAGGTCCTGCCCTGGTCCCTGCTGGTCCCTGCCCCTGTCCACCTGGTGCCGCTGACCAGGAGGGTGGCAACTTTGGTGCCGGCGCAAGGCCTAGCACCTCTCCAAGTCCCCTGCATTTGACGGCCTGGAGGAGATGACTGATCGGGCTGAGACCCGAGGTGCCAGTGAGGACGGTTCCGTCCCATGGGCCCAGTGCTTGGGTGCTGCGAGGCGCCTCTCTGTCGCCTCCCCCAGGGGGTGGGGTGCGGCCCCAGGGTGGTGCAGTGCACCCAGGTGGTGGGCGTGGCGCTGTATGGGTGGGGTCCACGTGTCCCTGTCGCCTGGCGTGTCCCCTTGTCCCGTGCCTGTTCCCCTTTCCCGTTGGTGGCAGTCCCAGCCTTGATGGCTGCTGGGCCGGAGGGAAGTGGCTGCGCCGGCCCCTCCGCAATCCGGGCCGGCTGGGGGCGGAGGTCGCTCACGGGCCCTGGGCAGCCCGTCGCCCAGCAGGCAAAGACCGGGCAGAACGGGCACAGAGACAGAGCCCACGCGGCGAGGCACCCATGTGACCCGAGGTCGACCGCAGGAGCGCGGGCGGTGGGACACCGCCGGCCGGCACAGCGTGTGGGAAGTGTCACCCTGTCATTGCACCTCGCGCCCTGCAGGGCGCTCGGCCTGGTGTGACGGTTCCATTAACACGTAACCACGCCCGGCACGCTCACCACGGCCCAGCACCGGCACTGCGCAAGTCACCACCCTCTGGGTGGCGACCTGCCGAGGCCGCCCCCCACAGCCGACCAGCCGCGGCCGGCTGAGGCGCGA